CTTCCTGTCCCACATATAGGTTTCTCAGAAGAAGGTAGATCCTCCTTATTCCGTGGCCTTCCTTGCCAGACCATAGCTTGAGTGGTTCCCACACCAAATGCAAAAATTACATTTTTATGACTACAGGGCCCAGGATTTTTCAGACAATTTGCCCACGCCCCTGCCAGTCTTGCCACTGGGTTTTTGGAACAGCAGTAGACAGTGCACCAGAAGCTGAACTGGCATCAAGGAAAGAAACATGACGACTGCCGTGTCCCCATCTCCACTCCTGCCCATCCAGCTTCCAAGATATTTATTGTGAAAAGCATTCTGCTTTTATCTAAAGAGGGGGAGGGGGTATCAATGTGAGGTTTCTCTGCAGCCAAGATTCCAGGTACCAATTCAGATGGATGAGTTTTTTTTTCAACCAGAAACAGCACTACGTACTTCATGTCCACAGTATTTACACTGGTGTGCGTGTGGATGTGTGTGAAATCTGCTTAGAGTATCTCTGTGGATCATTTTGGGGTACTTAGAATTCCCTGCTGTTACTCAGGGAAGTACACTACAGCTCTTTAGCAAAAGGATTCTCACCAAACTACAAAGCCCGGCATTTCCTAGGTGCAGCCACGAAAGGAAAAATGGCATCATGTTGTTTTATGACAACATAATGTGGAGGCACCTTTAGTTGTAAATGTTGCAGAGTTTTGCATATCTGGTAAAAAATCCTTTTTACTACACAATAGAAGTACAGAGATTATAGTTTCAGGTTCCCTATATTCCACTCCTCTTTCATTAACTGACGCTTAAGGTCTCGGTCACTCACTCTGAGACATTTGTAGGAAAAAGGATAAAAACATTTCATTACTTACAATTGTGAACAGATGAACAGCAAACAAAACAGACTGCTTCCAACAGATTAAAGAGAGGGGGAAAGCCCTCAACAGAGAGCTCTCTAGGAATTCAGAAGCAGGAGGGAGCAATTGGTTAGTGCTGGATAGATTGACAGCTATCCCAGAAACTCAAACCATAGGCAGCATGCAAGGTCGTGAAAACTCCAATACTTAAGAGGGCAGCATAAACAAATGCTGTTGATGAAGCATAAGGAAGTACTGTTGACAAAATACAGACCTATCTTGATGTGGGGGCCCTCACTACCTTGGTGCATGCGCTCGTAATCTCAAGATTAGACCACTGTAATGCGCTCTACGTGGGGCTGCCTTTGAGGCTGCTGCGGAAACTTCAGGTGGTGCAAAATGCTGCGGCCAGACTTCTCAGTGGTGTGAAAAAACACCAACATATTTCGCCCACTCTGACCGCACTGCATTGGCTGCCCATCCGATTCCGCATCGACTTCAAAGTGTTGATGCAACACTGATGTTTCGGCAGGCCTTCCCCTCAGCCAATTCCTGATTTCCCCTCTCTTTCCTTTTCCCTATTGTCTGTCCCATCTTGTCCAAAGCTTTTCCCCTTATTTAAAATTGTTTTAAATTACATTTAATATTCTTGTTGTAAGCCGCCTAGAGTGGTCTTAACTGACTAGATAGGCGGAATATAAATAAAATAAATAAGTAAATAAGTAAATAATATATCTCATAATCACAAAAGGGAGGCCAGGAGATGCACAGAGGTCAGGGTGGGGCACCCTCAGCCATGAACCTGCTCCCATTCAAAGTCTTCAGAGCTGTTATCATACTTCATTAGGAGGGTGAGAACTAAGGAGCTTAATCAAGGACTGAGAGTTAGAGGTGTAAAGAGGAAAGCAGAGAGGTCCCCTTGGGAGAGATCCAGGTAAAAGGGACAGCAAAAAAAGAGAGAGAGAGAGAGGGAGAGAAATGATGTTATTGAACTGAGCAGTTGCGAGTGTGTTTAGCACCCTATGTGAGAGAGGAGTCTGTGCCACTTTGAAATCAGTAGCAGAAAGGTGAATAAAGTCAATAAAGAGATCAAGGTAAAAGGGACAGCAAAAAAAACTAAGAGAGAGAGAGAGAGAGATGATGTTATTGAACTGAACTGAACTGAGCAGTTGCGAGTGTGTTTAGCACCCTATGTGAGAGAGGAGTCTGTGCCACTTTGAAATCTGTAGCAGAAATGTGAATAAGTCAATAAAAATGTAAGAAGAATAGAGGATTTTTTTGGGGAAGCTGAGAATGCAGAATTTGAAGACAAATGCCATAAGCAAGAGAACATTTTTGAAAGAACTGCAGGGTGAGTTCACTGAAATTGTGCTTCATCATAGGCTGCCAGTACACTGTAAGAGCTGTCAAACCCACTCTTCGCAGCCACCTCGCCAGTCTCTGCTTTCTCCACTGTGGTGCACCAGTTCATCTTTCATGCTGCCAGTTCAACTTAAGATCATTCTGCAGTGTGTTTCTTTCAAACAACCAGCAGAGGGAGTCCAGATTTCTGGGTTGTTCCAGAACAAGAAATGCTGTGGGGTGCCTTTTCTTGGCTTTTTAATTAAGCTTTCTGCTCTCATTTTCTAATTTTCTGCTGTATACCTCTTGCTTATTTATGCATACTTGAAAAGCGCGGACACAATGAACTAATATCTCTCTCACTCACATGCCTAGGTGGTTACCCCAAATGGCCTATCATTGCTAGGGTTGGTTGTTACGCCTGATGAGTATGCTTAGGCATGCACAGCGAGTGATGTGACTGCCATACACAATGCCTGCAGCGGGGAAACGTGTTTTAAGAATGACTCATGTATGCGATTTGTTCTTCAAGATCTACCCAAACAATGTATGTAGACCACCAAAGCAAATCATGCTATGCCTGGAAATTGTGTTCCGTGGCTCCCTGCTTAGGTTTAGGGACAGGCACCATAATTTAGGAGCAAAAGAAGCTCTGTTTGTCTGTCTAGCACAGTATGATCTACTCTTCACCAATAGTGGACTTCTAGGGTTCCAGAAAGGGAATCTTTTCCAAACACCTCCTATCTACAATCTCAGTGCATGTAGAGATAGTTGGACCTTTTTAGGTCCCTGAGAGATAGTTTGACCCTTTTAAGGGAAACCCTCCAGAGGGAATCAAACCTGGGACCTGCAGAACAGGTATTTGACTGTGGAGCTACAGCTCTTCCTCAAAGGTACAGCCACCTGTTCCAGCAGGCAAGAGATTTTTTTTTTCAGGTTTGCACCTGTGACTTCACCCTCACCCTGAGGATGTGTCATACGAACAAGCACAACTTGGCTGTGTGGAGGGAACAATCAGAAGCTGTACGTTTGCCTCCATAATCTCGTTTACTTTCTAGATGTGTATCGGACCTGGTGGGCTGGCGTCTCCAGGTGAGTTGGAAAAGAATCCTGCCTGGAATCCTGTGGTTTGTAGGTCAGGCTCTTAGTCACGACTCTGTACCAGTCCTTTCTGTTGATTCCTGCAAGAGCTGCTGAATCCTCAATTCACATCTGTTGTTTCTGAGTGTTCACACAGGCAAGGCAGTTGGTGCCCTTCTGGATTCTTTTCCCCCCCCCCCCCCAAAAAAAAAGTCTATAAGAGTGTTAGGAAACTTCAACTGGTTCAAAATGCTGCTGCCAGACTTCTGACTGGCACTGGTTTCCAGGATCATGTAACTCACTTATTACAAGAGCTTCACTGACTGCCACCCACTTTGGAAGCCCAATTCAAAGTACTGGTTATTATCTATACAGCCCTCTATGGTTTGGGTCCAGGCTATTTGAGGAATCATTTCACCCTGCACAAGCCTTCTCAGCTGCTAAGATCTTCTGAGGAGGCTCTTCTTCTCTTGGTTCCACCATCTTCCCAGGCTTGTATGGCAAGGATGCAAAAGAGCCCCTTCTCAGTGGTGCCCTCCAAGCCAGGTTGGCCCCCCTCCCTCTTGTCCTTCCATGGCCAAGCAAAGAGCTTCCTCTTCAGGCAAGCTTTTAAGCAACACGTGGGGGGCTAAGGAATGCTTGTTTATTAATGTTCATGTTTTAAAATGTTTGTAAACTGTTTTAATCTTGTTCTTTAATCTTAAAATATGCTTGTTTGTTTTTAATATGCTATTTATATGGTATTTTTAAAACTGTTGTTTGTTTTATAATTTTATTTGTTGTGAGCTGCCTTGAGTCCCCTCTGGAGAGAAAGGCAGCACATACAAACATACACACATACACACACACACACACACACACACACACACACACACACACACATACATATGTGCCTCCCTCTCTC